TGGCCACCACGTCAGCCACGTCCGCCAGGTCCACGCCACGCAGCTCGCACTTGGGGGAGCCGTCCACGCAGGCGTAGACCTGCTCCTCTGTGAAGTAGTCCCAACGCAGCACCTCGAAGCGGGTTTTGGGCTGGAAGGGGGGTGGGATGCCAATGGGCCACGTGGCGCTGTGGTCCCCATCTGCAGACAGGCTGCTGGCGTTCTGGATCTCCAGCTGCAAGAGAAGAGACGGAGGAGTGAGAGCCAAGGCAGGCGCAGGTAGGCCTTCCAACTCTGGCTGCAGGCAAGCTGACTCCCGATCCTCAGAGATCAGCCACTCCTGGCCTAAAGAGCAGTGCCAGAAAAACTCTGCCTTCAGCCTGACTCCTGTCCAGCACCTCAGGTTTCCTCCAAACAGCACCCCGAATATGGCACGCAGCCTGCATCGGCAGGATCCACGCCCTCTCCCACCCTGCCTGGCCTTTACAGGCGGACCTCAGCACCCTGAACCACCACCGCAGCTCCAGGACCCATCTGGGTCCAAAGCTGTTCTCCAGCCAGCACCACTGCCCCTGCAGCCACATGGGCTCAGCTGATCCCGTCCCACAGCAGGTTCACGTGAGAAACCCTCATATTAGAGTGGAGAGGTGATACCAGAAAGCCCACAGGGATGACAGGAGGAGCCCAGACCTTCCCAGCCAAGCCAGGCCTCACCTGGAGCTGCTGGATTTCCTGGTACGTCCTCTCCAGCTCCACCTGCGCAAAGTACTTGTGCAGCCGGTACATCTGGAGGGGATCCAGCACGGGATGGACAGTGAAGGCGCTCTGGAAACGGAGGTCGGTCTCCCGCTCGGGGTCTGCATTGTTCCCCAACTCAAAGTAGTGGTAACGCAGGCCCTGCGCCAGCCAGGAGAGACAGGTCATGGTCGGCCCCGACCCACACTCCCATCCCACCGGCTGCCAGCACAGCAAGCTCAAAGGAGGATAGGGCACAAGGGCTGGTCCCCCAGGCCCTAGGAGCCCCTGAGGAGGCAGGGAAACACGCTGGGCCAGGATCAGGCTCCTGGAGGCCACCTCCACTGCAGGACCTACCTCATGCTCCTCAGCACAGTTGACAGCCGTGTAGTCGATGATGCAGCGGCCCAGCCACTCATCGGGCCGGGCACTGAGGATGTCGTTGCGGCAGCTCTCCAGGTGATGCTGCAGGAGCAGGAGGAGGCTGCGGGACAGCAGGTAGCCAAAACCCCCGTAGCAGTAGCGTCCCTCAGTATCCCCGCCGATGAACTCCTCAGGGCGACCCAGGTAGAGGTGGGTATCAATGCTGAGGTGGGCGACCAGGCGGCTGATGCGGTGCGCCTCCGTGTAGGTATCGTCCTGCACCAGGAAGAACCAGTCGAAGTCGTTCACGTAGTGGTCCAGAAGGTACCTGACAGTCTGGTACATGTTCCAGATGGGCCGCTCATCGCTGTGCGTCACCACTGTCATGCCGTGGGGCACCTTGCGGCCCCGCGTGCCTGTGAAGTACACCAGGCGCTCCAGGCGGTGGGCTAGCGTGCGGTTGACAGCCACCCCCAGCGTGTTCAGTGTGCTCTTGGAGGTCAGCACACCCACGAAGAGCCGCTGCCGCATCCCCAGCTCTGTGCTGATGTACCGGGTCCTGCAGAAGGGAGAGAACGTCTGGCCCTGGGGCACTGCACCCCACCTCAGCCCGCACCCTCCCCGTCCCCCCGTCCCCACTGCGGCACCAACCTCGGTTCCTCTGCAGGAACTGCTCCCAGGCTTCAACCACACGCGCAAGACATCACCCCAGCAGCACTGGCTGCCACTACGCCTGGGCCAGAGGTACAGCAGAGTGCTCTGCTGAGATGCCCCCAACCTGAGGCCACGGGGGACCCTCCCTCCCCGTGAGCCGGCCAGCCCGGATCAAACCAGAGGCTCGCAAAAGGCTGAGCACAACTGAAAGAGGGAAACAGGGCTGCATGCCCCAGCTCTAGCGGGGGACACAACCCACCAGGCACTCCACCATGCTGCCAGCCCCGG